AAATACTACGAATACTACGAATACTGCTACTACAACAACTCGCATACTAAAGGTACTATTACAAATACTATGAATACTACTACTACAACTACTACTACAACTCGCATACTAAAGGTACTACTACTGCTACTACTACTACCACTAGTACTACTACTACTTCTACTACTGTTCGCATACTAAAGGTACTACTACATTACTACGAATACTACTACTACTACTATTACTACTACTAATACTGCTATTACTACTACTCGCACACTAAAGGTACAGTGTGTACTTCACTTTTATACTACTGTGAAGAATACTACAAATACTATGAATACTACTCGCACACTAAAAGTCAGTCTGTACTGTAGTATTATAATACTACTGTGAATACTACTACTACTACTACTACTACTACTACTTGATTTAGTCCTGGTTTAGTCCTGGTTTTAGTCCTGGTTTAAACCTGGTTTAGTCCTGGTTTAGTTCTGGTTCAGTCCTGGTTTAGTCCTGGTTTAGTCCTGGTTTAGTCCTGGTTTAGTCTGGTTCAGTCCTGGTCTGGTCCTGGTTTAGTCCTGGTTTAGTTCTGGTTTAGTCCTGGTTTAGTCCTGGTTCAGTCCTGGTCTGGTCCTGGTTCAGTCCTGGTCTGGTCAGTCTGGTTTAGTCTGGTTTAGTCTGGTTTAGTCCTGGTTTAGTCCTGGTTCTGGTAGTCCTGGTTTGGTTAGTCCTGGTTAGTCTGGTCCTGGTAGTCCTGGTTTCCTGGTTTAGTCCTGGTTTAGTTCTGGTTTAGTCCTGGTTTAGTCCTGGTTCAGTCCTGGTCTGGTCCTGGTTCAGTCCTGGTCTGGTCCTGGTTTAGACCTGGTCCAGTTCTGGTTTAGTCCTGGTTTAGTCCTGGTTTAGACCTGGTTCAGTCCTGGTTCAGTCCTGGTCTAGTCCTGGTCTAGTCCTGGTTCAGTCCTGGTCCAGTTCTGGTTTAGTCCTGGTCCGGTCCCGGTTCAGTCCCGGTCTTTTTCTTCTTCAGTGATCATCAGTCGGCAGCAGAGGAGGATGCAGGTGATGCGGATCCGGCAGAGGGACGACCGTTACCGACACAAGAAGAAGAAGAAGGCGGCGGGCGGGGGGACGGGTCAGTCCAAGATGGCCGCCACCGCCGAGCCCGTGTACAGGAGGAAACCCAACCCCATCCGTCGCTATGACACCGACGTGCTGTCACCCGTAAGAGCCGACATCTACCACCGTTTACGTCATCAAGTTCAAAACACACAACAACACGATTTAAAAACGTACGATTTAAAAGTAACATTTAAAAAAAAACACAAATCATAGAGAGGTCTTTATCTGGAATGTTCCACGGTGAGGCTTTAAACATGTCCTGCGTTTGTTTAATTTTAGGAGTCTCTTAATTTTCTCACTTTGAACAGTCACCTCAAAGTCACAGTTTTGTTCCTGGTTTAGACCTGGTTTTAGTTCCGGTTTTAGACTTGGTTTAGATCTGGTTTAGACCTAGTTTTAGTCCTGGTTTTTGTCCTGGTTTAGACTTGGTTTTAATCCTGGTTTTAGTCCTGATTTAGACCTAGTTTAGACCTGGTTTAGACATAGTTTAGACCTGGTTTAGGCCTAGTTTAGACATGGTTTAGACCTAGTTTAGACCTGGTTTAGACCTGATATTAGTCCTGATTGCAGACCTAGTTTAGACCTGATTTTAGTCTGGATTTTAGCCCCGATTTTAGACCTAATTTTAGTCCTGATTTAGACCTAATTTTAGTCCTGATTTAGACCTAGTTTAGACATGGTTTAGACCTAGTTTAGACCTGATATTAGACCTAGTTTAGACCTGATTTTAGTCCCAATTTCAGTCCTGGTTTAGACCTGGTTTAGACCTAGTTTAGAAATAGTTTAGACCTGATTTTAGTCCTGGTTTTAGTCCTGGTTTAGACCTGATTTTAGTCCTGGTTTTAGTCCATAAAAACGTTCCGCTGTGGACACTTAAAACGACTCACTGCTTTTGCTTTACCTGTGATTCTTCCTCGTCCTGACACTTCCTCCTCGTCGTCCGTGTCGTTCCAGAGTTACATCCAGAGTTTCCGGGAGCGGCAGGTGCAGGCTCAGCCCTTCCCCAGTCGCCTGGTGGTGGATCTGGGATACGACTGCAGCTCCAACACGCCCCTGACCGGAGCGTCTGGACCGCAGCTCCGAGTCTGACCCCGAGGACCCGCAGCAAAGACTCACAGAGACTACATTACCCATGATGCCACTCTGCTGGACACTGGGTGGAGGCGCACAGATGCATGACGCACTTAAACACAGATGTACTCACGTTTTTTTGCGGAGGAGCGGCGGCGGCGGACGTTTTGGGATTGTGTAAAATATATCTACGCCTTTTATCTCGTGTGCCATGTGACCTCGCCTTTAAAGTGGCGGCGGCGGTGCTGCTCGGTCTCTTAAAGGGGCGGTCTTGGTGCCTTGGCCGCGTCAGAACCAGCAGAAGTCCATCGATTTTTTTTTTTTTCAAACAATGTGAAAACAATAAAACTCACAGGGTAACGGACGGTTTAAAAACACGTGTGGCTGGAAAGAACGATTTATTTATACCGACGTCTCACTCTATAGTGGCCACGTTTATGATGTTTTTTAATTCCGAATTAATTGTTCGGTTTTCTGTCCCGTTTTTCTTTTGTTATTTTCTTTTATTTTATTTTGTTAGTTAGTTATATTTTTTCTACTTTATTTTATTATTTTTTTTTATTTATTATTTATTTTTTTTATTTTTTGTTTGTTTGTTTTTTTATTTTATTTTTTTCTACTTAATTTTATTTTTTGTTTGTTTATTTTATTTTTTCAAAATTTTGTTTTTTCTATTTTATTTTTTGTTAAATTTTTTTCTATTTAGTTTTTTTTTTTCTATGTTATTTTATTTAGTTAGTTATTTTTATTTGTTTAATTTTTTTTCTTTCTTTTTTAATTCTGTCCCTTTGTCATATTTCTCCCTGATTGGCTCATCCACCTGTCAGTCACTCCCATGACCAGTGACCAGACTCGCGTGTTTGTTCTGGAACGTGCCTCCCGATGTTATTGCCTCGTTTGGAATGTCCCACAGTTGAGCTTTACGACACACCTGCCCTGTAACTTGACGTGTGTCGCCGTGGTGACAGAAACGTTTAATAATGCCGTACTGCGAAACCGGGCAAAACAATACGAGTCCATGGAGACCGTCACGTGGCTTACGATTCTCCAGAAAAATTACGTAGTGCACCTTTTTTGTCAGTATTCAAATTTATTTAAAAATATCTGACGACACGCAACAAAAAAGAGTGAGACATCGGTGTAAATAAAACGTTTTTAAATCGCAAATTGAGGCCAAACTTCTGCGTTTCAATCAGGTCGACGAGTCACTTTTTAAACCGAAACAAAAATCACAAACGAAATGTGAATATCGTGTCTTTTTTTTTTCTTTTTCTTTTCTTTTTTTTATAACGAACTGCATGAGCCACCACCTCCTCCACGACGCCGACACTCACAGGCGCCGCGCTGTGGACACTCCAGGTACTGCAGCCGATCCACGTCCAGGAACTTTTTGGACTTTTTAAGATTCCGTAACGGGTCCAGGAGTCTGAATTTTAAACAAACACGAGACGAAACACGTACAAGTATTTCAGAACGTGTTTGTAGAACTTTAAACTACAGGGTTTGCGGCTTTTACTCTGAAAAATCTGCTTCAAACTATGACAAAAACCCGGAATATTCTTAAACTGAAACACTACCGCTCAAATCTTAAATGTAAAAAACGAAATTAACAGATTATTTTTGAGCGTGTAGACGACTGTGGCATTTCCCTTTGTGTGAAACCATAATGTGAATCTGTATAAAAACACTAACTTTTGTATTTTTGACTCATTTGTATTTAAAAATGTTATTCTTAGATTTGTTTTGGGACCTTCCTCCTTCCAGTGTCTGTCTGTATTTATTTAATTTAAGTTTAATTTCTGGTGCGTCGTCTTTCACTGTTGGCCGTGCTTTTCAACATTAAATAAATCAAAGCATGTGTCTCGAACCAGGTCTGGTTTTTGGAGTTATTCTAGTTAAAAAAAAAAAATTTAAATCCAATTTTCCCATTAATTTAACACAATAAAATCTCTATGAATAATGAATATACAATATAAATATTTTTACTTTAATATAATAAGGTGGACTGAGTTAATTTTGTGAAGAAAAAAAGTGTCATAAATAAATAAATAAAATAAAATGTTCTATGTGTAGTTTGGTGTCCTCATGTGTACAAAAATATATTGCTACGATATGTTAGAATCACACTCAATATAAATCTAATATTTTTTGATAAATATTGTAAATAAAAGTGTGGAAAAGGTTGTAGTTCCAAATGTGTCCGCCAGAGGGAGCCATGTTGAACGTTCGTCACACAGTTCATGAGGTTCATAGTTTAAAAGAAGTTATTTATTTATTTATTCATTCATTTATTTATTTTTTATCAACAAGATCGATCTGTGTCTCAAAATATGAACTAAAATGTCCCCGTGAATAAAACTTTCTGTCTGTCGCTGTTACAATTTTATATTTTATATTTTTTCTTTTTTCTTTTTCTTGCCTCGTGATCCAGAACACGTGCAGCCAATCATTAATCAGAGCTCGTGAGCTTCTGTCGTCCTCGTGCGCTCAGGTCAAACTTTTTTTGTGTCCTCGTGTCACCCAGACTCAGTTATGACGTAATCCTCATGAGGCTTTTACAACATTTCATATTTTACAGAAATTTAATGTGATACATAAATTTATATCATATTATACAAATATATTGTCTTTTACCTTAAATTATTTGAATTATTTAACTTATTATTATTTGATATATTTTGTTCCACGTAGTTTGGCGCCATCGTGTGGACAACATAAGAACTGCAAATATCCACAAAAGCAAGCTTTTTTAGTTTTTTTTATCTAAATTATCTATATACATTTTTTTTGTGAGTAAGTAAGTAAATTTTAAAATATTTTAATAAATAACTAATAAGTAAAAAAAATAAAAAATAAAATAAAATAATAAATAGTATGGTGTATATAGTTATTATTATTATTATTATTATTAATGTATTTATTTTAATCCTGATGTTTTGTTTAGCGGAGTTTGACGCCATCTTGTGGACAAAAGAATGAAATGCATAAATCTCCCTAAAGCTTGTAATTCTGACCTGTGTCCGCTAGAGGGAGCTCCAGAGTATGAATGAATTTAGTTTATATTGTAATAAAAAAAACACACACACACACACAAACACAGATACAGAATTATTAGAATTTTTAAATATGTAATACAAATTATATATCTACTAAATATTTATTACTTTAGTTTATTAATGTTTTGTTTTTTTGGCTGTTTAACAAATTAAACAAATGTCTGTTTTCACACTTTTCATAATATCATGAACACAAGAGTCGAGTCAGAAAAATCTAAAAACTTTATTATTACTATTTTCAGTCATAGATTAGGAATGTAAAATTAAATAAAAATGAAATGAAATGTAATTCTAAGGCAATGTTTAATGTTTGTCCACCAGGGGGAGCTCCACATGTCATAAAAGAGTTTATGAAAACATTATCTTTAATTATTTTAGTAAAACTTTAATACTGATCCAGTGATGAGTGAAAGAAACGTCTGATTAAATCTAGTTCTTCTTCAGGACATTTCCTCCAAACTCCACCGGGGGGCGACCTTTCACCCCGAGTCCAGAGATCTGAAAAAGAGTTCGAGCACATTTTAAAACAGTTTCACCCTCAAACCTAAAGGTCTGTGGTTCAATCCCAGCTCCACTGCACACTGCCCTTGTGCCTCTGTGCAAGACACTTCCCGCAGAGTCGCACTCACCCTGAAGGTGGCACCGGCGAACGTCTGAACGCGGAGATCCGATTGGCTGAGGCCCAGAGACGCAGAGGTTACGTAGAGGTCACTGTAGTGAGGCCCCCCGAAACAACAGGATGTGGTTTTGGAGACGGGAAGTGCCACGGTCTGGAGACGCACGCCTAAAACACACGGGAGTCGAACCATCAACCTCTGACACAGCAACAACAACAGCGGTGGTGCGTTTACATAAAAAAAAAAAAATCAGAAAACTAGAATAATCAGATAAAACGGTAATTAAAAGTGATTTTGGTGAGTGTTTACAAGAGAAATCTGATCACAAGCAGCAGGAAAACACTTTACAAACTGTGAAGTGTTTTGCCCAAAGACACAAAAACAGTCTGTGATGTTCGTGTTTCTCGTTTTCACTCAAATAAACTGTAAGACAATTAAAAGTCTGATGTAAAAATATGCACTTGAATTTACTTTAAAAATACTTAAAGCTGAAAATATTCAAGGACATAACGTTCTGTTGTGTGGATCAGTGGAAAAGGTTCAGTCCTGAAGCCCTGAGGTTGTTGGTTCAAATCCAGATCAAGACCTTTTGGAACTTAGAATTTAAAAACAGGAAACTAAACGCTTAAGTAATCGGAGAGTGATCGTGAGTCTGAGCTGTTGTGTGGGTGAAAGGTTCAAACATGGAGGCTTTGGTCCTGAGATTCTGGGTTCAAATCCAGAAGCCAACTGTGTTTCCTCCCAATTATTAATGATCCTTTAAAACTTTGGGAGAAAAAAAGGTAAGAAACCACAGAACGCCAACCCGAGTCTGTGAAATCAGAAACTTTGTGACTATAAACTCTGTTCTGACCAAGTGTCTGACCCACTGCAACTGTGAAACACGTAATAGATAAAAGTCTAACTAAACGTTCAGCTGGACCAGATCTAAAACTGAAATACTTCAGAAGAAAGTCACTGTATGTGCTGGAGTGTGGCTCAGGAGTTAAGACTCAGGGATGTGAAGATGGACCTGAGGTTCTGGGTTCAAGTCCTGCCTCTGATGACCAGTGAGACTCACACTGAAGTGTCAAACACAACTATAAACTTCATCAAGAAACTTATGTTCTTAAAATTTTCTGCATAATCTACTTCATCTAAGACAGTTGGGTCACTCATTTGTGCACCAACTTCATGAATGAGTGACAGGGCTCCAGGGTGGAGCGGGTCGGGGTCGGGGTCTCCCCTGGGGCAGCGGGGGATCGATCCACAAACCTTCGGGTGAGAGCTGGACTCTGTTGGTGTGAGTCTCTCTGCTCCTACACCACTGCCTCCTCCAACCAGGAGACGCTTTTTTGTGTATTTGACTTTGACAGAGACTCTCACTTTAAATATTCCTCATGTTTATCTGTATCACCCTGATGTGTTCAGTTCTTGTGCTGATGTGGCTCAGAGGTTAAGACACAAACACAGGCTCCTGTTGGATCAGATGTTGTGGGATCGAGTCCCGTCACTGACTCTGAGCTGATGTCTGCGTCTCTCACGTGAGCCTGACTGTGACGTCTTAAAACACAAACTATTGTCCTACTGATCTTCTTGTTGAGATCGAGTTTGTTCTAATCTCAAACTAGTCCTTGTTTCCAGGTTCTGTATTGAACTAACAACCTCCGACTCACAAACTGTGCACCACACAAGCTCTCGACCCTCTGACCCAACAGCACATACCTGGAGTTTGACACTAAAATGTTCCAGATAAGAGCTTTACGATGTGGTTCAGAGGTGTGGACATGCGTTGGACCTGAGGTTGTGGGTTTAAGTCCGGCCTCTGTCCAGTTTGTCTCACAGACACATTAAATCTGATCAAAAACATATTTTACTTAAATTCTGTTCCAACTTTACTTCATCATAAACACTGTGGTTCAGGAGTGAGACTCAGACTCAGACACTGACAGACTCCTGCTGCTCCTGAGGTTCTGGGTTCAAATCCTGTCTGTGATTAAAGGCAGATCAGTGTCTGTGTTTTGTGATGTGACAGATTCTTTATGAAAATAATCGACTGCACAAACTTCACAGATCCAAAGGGGAATTTATTTGTGGTTGTGTCTGGAATAACTGACACTGTCACACGTTTATTTTCATGATCATCACAACGTAAAGACGAACATTTCTGTTTTATTGCCATTAAAAATCACTCAGTCTAAATCCAAAGCAGCAGTATTAGTAGTAGTAGTAATATTAGTATCAGTAATAGTATTAGTAGTACTAGTAGTAGTATTACCTGTGTGTGGATCGACTTGTATGACTCTCCATCCGTTGTAGCAGCAGATCCAGATTTTTCCGTCTGCGTCGAGGGTGAGTCCGTCTGGAAGCCCCTCCTCGTCCTTCAGCTCGAACACCACACGACGAGAATCTGACGAGGAACAAGAGTCAAACCCGAGTGCACGAGTACACGAGTGCACGAGTGCACGAGTACACGAGTGCACGATTGCACGAGTGCACGAGTGCACGAGTGCACGAGTGCACGAGTGCACGAGTGCACGATTGCACGAGTGCACGAGTGCACGAGTGCACGAGTGCACGATTACACGAGTGCACGAGTGCACGATTGCACGAGTGCACGAGTGCACGAGTGCACGAGTGCACGAGTGCACGATTACACGAGTGCACGAGTGCACGAGTGCACGAGTGCACGAGTACACGATTACACACGACTCTCTCCGATCTGAAGTCGTTTCCTCGTCACACACAGACCCGGAGCTGTGGTTTGTTTCATCATTATATTTAAAGTTTTACTAAAAATCTAGTCGTTTAAGAGGGATTCTGTTTTAGAACTCGGCGCTACTTCCTGTGTTCTTCTACTTTCTTTGTTCTTTTTTTCTACAAACTTAGTGTGAAGCATTTAGCGCAGGTACTAACCCACCAAACTGAGTCACGCAGACAGCTGATTGGACGAGCTGTCGCCGTGGAGACGTACCCATGCGGCCCGTGGCGACGTCGTAATCGAAAACGTCGAGTGTTTTCTTCAGACTGTCGACGTAAAAGAAGAGCTTCCCGTCAGACGACCAGTCCAGACCGTTTGAGATGTCGACCTGCACAAACACCACAAACCACAAATGACAAACAGTTTTATTTCTATATTTTATTTGACTTGTACATAGATTTTTAACAGAAAGATTCTAACAAAAGTAACTTCAGGACATTTGAAAGTGTTTGTACCTGGTCCAGGTGCTGGATCAGGGTCAGATCTGAGTCCACAGAAAACAGAGATCCCTGTTTCCTCTGGACCTCACCTGGACTCTGCTCCAGACCCATGGTCCCTGAACACAACACCACCGTTATGGTCTAGTCCAAGTCTGGTCCAAGTCTGGTCCAAGTCTAGTCCAAGTCTAGTCCAAGTCTAGTCCTGATCCTGAGTCTGACCTGCGAACAGTCGTCCTGCTGGATCCACTTTCCCGTCGTTGAGGCGGTTTTGTGGTTTGTCGTCATCCACGGTAACCAGTGATGTCACCGCCCCCGTTGACCAATCAACAGCCGAGAAAGTGCGGCCAACTCCCGCCACGTACCCGCCCCCTCGCGCCGGGACCGCGAAACCCACCGGGGCATCTGACGCAAGAGATGAGAACAACGTCACCATGAAAATATAAAGGCCAGTTTTCTTCATCTAAATGTCACCGTTTTCTTTCTTTTTTCCTTTTATAATTTGCCTGTTAATTTGTATTTTATAATTTGTCTAAAAAAAATAAAACAAAAGTGTTATGTTCCACAGACGTCATCTGTAAGTGTGAACAGAGCCGATAAACCATGAACATTTTTGCTCTGAAAGAAAATAAAATATTGTTAAACACTGAGCCGCTGCAGCAGCTGTTTCTGATTGGTCACCTGTGCTGCAGCAGCTGTTTCTGATTGGTCACCTGTGCTGCAGGAAGCGATCTGATTGGTCACCTGTGCTGCAGGAAGTGATCTGATTGGTCGTGGGGTTCCAGCGGTGGATCTTTTTTCCCATGATGTCGACAAACAGCAGCGTCTGCTCTGACTCCTCCCACACTGGTCCTTCTCCAACCAGAGCGTGAAGATTCACCACAGGCTCCACCTTCACCGGTGACATCATCGTGACGCCGGAGCAGAATCTGACGAGCATCAAAACATCGTCCAAAAACTTTTCACATAAAAGCCCAGATTCATGTTCTAACTATTTTACTGGAGTTATTTGCTTACTTTGTTTATTCTAAAATATGTTTCTTATTTTTGTTTGTCAGTTAGTTTACTCATTTAGTTTGTTAATTTGTGCAATATGTTGTTGCATTATTAATATTATATTTGTTAATTAGTTTAGTCTCATTTACCACAGTGACCTGAGTGGGTCTGTGTTTTTATTTTACCAGTCGACAGGAGGCAGCAGGAGTCGCCTTTAACATGTTGGAAATAAATCTTGGAAACTCAGCTCTGGTCATGAATATTAATTTGTTTTTTCCACAAACCCACGGTGCTGAAAAGTGACTGAGTTATGTTTAGTTTCCTCACCGCTTTTGTTCGTTACTTTTCTTTGACAAACAGCCACTACAAATTTAATTGATTTGTTTTTCACTGATGAACCTGAACATGCACGACAGCACCAGACTCAAACTCACTTTACAACTCGAACTTTGGCTGCACCGGGATTTTTATTATGATGAAAAATAAATCATTTATTTAATCGATCAATACTGAAGTTGTCATTAGTCTTTCTGAGTCTCTTCCTCCTTCTGTGTGGAAAAGCAAAATAGTGTTTGGATTTGTCTTCCATTTTGTGGATCTTCTGCCATAAAAAAGATAAAATATTGTGTTCTAAATTGTTAGTTGCTATGGGAACAGTCCTAATTTCACACGGAAAACAGTCAGCAGTTTCCCAAGGACCCCGCCCACTAGGCCTCAAACTCCATGTCGCACAACTTTTCCCACTTCAGAACCAGCTTCTCAGGCTCATGGACCATCCACAGAAATCTACACAAATCTACACAAATCTGATCTGTTTTGGATTTAAACTCGAGATTCTGCATTTTGTCCCGCGCATGCGCAGTGCCAACCCCACAGCTGAAATGTTTACAAAGTTCACACGAGTTTAAGAGGCTCAAAAGTCTCCACCAAAGTCCGGACTAAACCAGAACCGGGTCAAAACCGGGTCTAAACCTAAACGAACCCGGATTCGAGTGTTCCGCGACAGTTTTGTGTTGTTTTTTTTTAGAGTTTTTGGAGCAAACTCACCTGCGCCTCTGATGAATCACAACTGCGACAAGTCACGTGACACCCCGCCCCTCTGAGGAGTCCCGCGCACAAACGCACCCACAGCCACAGCAGTGTACCCGCCCCTACGGACTGACCTCACCTCAAACACACCCAGGACGCGTTTCAGCTTATTTAGCATTATTTACTTTTTTGTGCTTAAAATCGCAGTTTTGCTGTAAATTTTTGCTTCGCGTGGTTTGTACTAAAAACAAATTATTTTACAAACTCAAAACATCCACATTTAGAGATTTTCTCGTGAATTAAACCATCCCGCCTTCAGTTCCCACTTGTGTCCGCCAGAGGGAGCCACGCAGCCCAAAAACATATTTAATAATTTAAAATAAAGTTTAATCTTAACTAAATTTACATAAAACGAAGTGGAACAGACTCAGATAAAATGCACTGGTTAAGAAATCCACTGACAAAGACGTGAAAGCATAAAAAATCTTTAATATAAAAACAATCCAAACTATTACAAAACCATTAGAAAACATGAAACTTTTTTTAAAAGCTGTAGTTAGTCAGTTACAAAACAAAAATACGACTGTGTGCTTCAGTAGTCGGACTTTCACACAGTTTAGACTTCACAGTTTCCGTGGATTTCAGAATTATGACAAATTAAGAGTGTTTCCAGAGAGATTGAAGTGTAATATTATATTTTTATCCTCAAAACGTCTCATATATCTGGAAGCTGAACCCCATGAGTAATGATTGGGCTGGAGTCTTCTTCTGTAGCAGCAGTGAGGCCACGACACAGAGACAAAACAAACAAACCAGTGATATTATTCAAATAGAAACTTTTAACCTTCCTGCAACAATAGATACATTTTTTGTACATCTCAGCTTTTCTTTTTTGCATAACTTTCTTGTTATTGCACCAAATCGCACCAAAATTGGCCACTTTGTTTATTTTGTCGTGTGGTTTTTAATTTCTGAGTTTTATTCCAAGATGGCATTAACAGAACGGTTTATAATCAAAATACTCACACCTGTTTTCCAGTGTATTTTTAATTTTTGATTTCTTTTTCAATCTTTGGTGTTGAAAACCCTTCAGTGTGTTTAGTTTTAGTGTCTTTTAGAATTTTTTGATTTGTGTATCAATAGAAACATGTTTATATTTGGTTTGTGTGATTAGAGCAGAAGGAAACGAAGACAATGGTATAAAAAATTTGAACACAAATCTGTACGGCATAAAAATATTGTGGTTTTCTTTTTTCAGTTTTTGTCACAAAGGAGCACAGATGTAACTATTTGAGTTTGTGCAAAAACTAAAAAAAAATTAAAAATCATCTCCAGAGTCTGATAATCCCAACACAAACAAATTAATGATTCATGATTTAAAAAATACAGAAATAATCCAGTTCTTTCTTTGTTTTCATGCACAAAAATGTGAGATTTCTGCTTCAAAAATGGGTAAAAATGTCAAAATATTCTATCATATTTGGTTTGTGTGATTAGAGCAGAAGTAAATGAAGTTGGACAAAAATCGTACGGCATAAAAATATTGGTTGGTTTTGGTTTTCTTTCGATGTGTGTTTTTGTCACATAGCAGCACAGGTGTGATTATTTTTAAAGGTTTGCTCAAGGGTTAAAGGAGCCGTGTGTGTTTCGTGTGAAGCTCAGATCCTCCAGAAATCCTTTTTTTGATTTAAACAGACTGGATTTCAGCGCTGAAACGTAAGACTCGTTCTGCTTTTTGACTGGATAACTGTCTCCAAATAAAACAAAAAATATAAATAAAAATAAAATGAAAAAAAAAATATCTGATTCTTCTAAAACGAAGAAAACTCTGAATCTCTGTCGTCAAACGGAAAAATATTGAGAACCAGTGTTTAAGAGAAATCACGTCCGGGGAGTCCAGTCGTGTAAAAGCAGCTTTAGATTTCTGCGAGCAGGTTTTGAAACGGGGTCCTGTAGTTTTCGAGCTCTACAAACATGTTCTGAGTTTTCTCTAAAAGGTGAATCGCGTTTGTCATGAGATCTGAAAGAAAACAAATGATCTTTTTTATTGTGCTTTCCAAATCGTCGTGTGTTTTCCCTCCGTCCCTCTCTCCGGGGCTCAGAGCAGCGCACAGGCCCCGGACGTGTTGTTCCGTCTGGAGCTGGTTCTGTTCGTGTGCTCGGGGGCTTGTGCCGGTCGTGCGTCCCCGCTGACGGCGCCCTCTGCTGGGGCGGAGGCGGGAGCGGCGGGAGCAGCGGCAGCGGGGGCGTCTGGAGGAGCGGCCGGGTCTTTGTCGGAGGACGGCTTCGAGCGAGAGAAGGAAAGTTTTCTGAACAGAGACAACTGGACAAAGAGAGAAACTGTCAGATAAAGACAGATACCAAACATTTTAGCTCGACATTTTTATGCCCGAAATCTTTGGTAAATTTAAATGGTAAAAATGTAACTATATTCATGTCTTTATGAAGGTCTAGACCAGGAGTGTCCAAACTTTTTTCATCAAGGGCCACATATCTAAACACAGACGAAGCCGAGGGCCAATCGAGGGCCGTAAACTGGTCCTTTATTCCAGCTAAGATCCTTAAACCCACACACTAAATATTAAATATTGTTTTTTTCAAAGTAGATTTAAAAAAAAAAACTTGCAATAAAAGGTTTATTTTTCATTAATACAAGGTCATTTGGGCCAATTGTCCTGGAAGCCTGAGGGCCAAGAAAAACTTGTCTGAGGGCCGCATTTGGCCCACGGGCCGTAGTTTGGACATGCCTGATCTAGACTAAACCAATGTAAAGCTGCACTGTGTAACTCTTCTGGAGGAGTCCGTCTGCTCATCTCCATGGTGATGTTATTGATGTTATTGCTTTGCCTGTAATGTTCCGCAGTACGACATTAAACTCACGTGTTTGTAGAGAAAGTGACACTATGACCAAGTTACACATCTTCAACTTCTCTAATTTTCAAGGTAAAGCAATTAAACACACCCAGAACAGGAAGTTACATAGTGAATCTTTACCCAACACTCTTTAAATATGACCTTTGACTTCACCTTCTTGGAGCGTCCTGATTGGCTGTTGGCGACGCCGTCTGTCGTCTCATTGGTCGGTTGGACGATCTCGTCGTTCTGCTCTTCGTCTTTGGGCGTCGCTTCTTCAGCTCCGTCAGTTTCTAAAATACAACGTGAACTTTTTACTCTTTAAGGTTTTATATATGTTTTATTTTTATGTTTCTAATAATAAAAACTTGACCTTTCTGTTCTTCCTCCTGAGTCGACTTTTCCTCGTCAGATTTCTGCACAAACAACAAAGTCAACGTCAGTGTTTATTTAAAAGGCGACTGAAAAACTATTGATGCATTAACTACATATTTCAAGGTATTTTTAATTAATTAAAAAAATTTTTTTTTTTAAAGGTATTTTCGTGATGTAAAAATTCCAGTCATGAAATAAATGCTTAATGTCTCCTTTTTTGGTATATTTTACTAAATTATTTAGTGACAGAGCTGCAGTTTTGTTGCTTGTTTAGAGGAAGTGTGAAGGAGTTTTAAGTCTCGTCTTAAGACCCACTTTTACTCTCTGGAGTTGTGTGCTCCTCTGTGTCTTTTATTTCATTTTATTAAATTTATGTATTTATTTATTTGTGTATTTAATTTTAATTAAAATTTTAATTATTTTTTATTTGAATTTTATATTTTTATAATTAGAATTTTTTGTGTTAAGCATTTTAAAACTTTTTATTTATTGTTTTTATTGAGGATTTACTGTCTTTTATAGTGTTTTCATTTGTTTGTGCAGCACTTTGGAAACGTTTATAAAATGTGCTGTAAAAATAAAGTGGATTGAAAGAAACTTGTTCATGTGACACATTTGACATTTTCACTGTTTTGATGATTAAAATGTTTGTGTTTCATATTAACTTTGCACAAGAAGAAGTGGTTTAACAAAGACTTTTAGTGTCACAGACATGATTTAGACTTTATTTTTTACTGAACTGTATTGAAATGGATTTGAAATATATTTAGTGAAGGTGAAACTCACTGTTTCCTGGACGGGAGTTTGCTCTGACTCGTCCAAACTCTCGTCTGTTCTGGACTCCTCTTCATCTCTCTCCTCCTCCTCCTCTTCTTCCTCTTCTCCGTCCTAGAATTAAAAACAAAACAAATACACAATTGTAATCAAGCAATGAAAAGAAGAAAAAACTAAACAAAACTTAAATCAATAAACATTTGTAATAGAATGTTGTTAACTCACTAGAGATGGAACGATATCCAGATTCCACAGAACGACATTTTCACAATTTACATCTCACGCTTAAAAGTGTTAGAACTGTTATTTCATGTAGTTTGCAAAGGATCATGGTCTATGTAGTCCTCTGTGTTTTTTTAACTGTTGCTGCACCATAACTTTTCATTTAAGCAAATAAACTTGTAATTCGATATATTGTGATGATCCACGATGTAATTATGAGACTTTTGACAATACGATATCACCATGTTTTGGTTTTTGTTACTTCTCTATGACTCACCTCGTCTTTCTCTCCATCTTCCTGCTCTTCCTCCTCTTCATCCTTTTATTCAACACAAACATAAACACAACACGATGATTACTGTCAAACAAATGCATCCGTACTCACACGTAAAAACAAAAACACTAACAACATAACATTTAGATTTTGTTAAAGATACAGTACGTAACTTTCTGGAGTGTGGTGTCATCTCAAGACTTCCATGGAAAGAGGAAATTAAAACAATCCGTATGTCATTCGTTCATTTCATTTTTCAAAATAAAACCAAAATTTTAAAAATGGAAAAAAAAAAAAAAAAAAAAAGATTTTCTTCATTATTTGTCTCCAAAACCAAAATGAAAAAACAGATAATGATTTGTTTTGGATTTTGTGTTTAAATAAATTATGGAAAAAAAGGATAATGGACTGAACCAGGACTGAACCATTTTCAGTCATGGTCTGGTCCTGGTCTCAATCATGACCTGGTCCTTCTCCTGGTCTCAGTCCTGGTCTCAGTCCCGGTCTGGTCCCAGTCCTGTTCCCAGTCTCAGTCCTGGCCTCGGTCTCGGTCTCAGTCCTGATCTCAATCCTGGTCCTAATCCTGGTCTGGTCCGGGTCTGGTCCTGGTCTCAGTCCCAGTCTAAGTCTTGGTCTGGTTCCGGTCTAGTCCCGGACCTGTTTTAGTTATCCGTTTTTCCATTTTTTATTTGAACACAAAATCAAAAACAGAAAAAAAGAATTATTATCTATTTATTTCACTTTGGTTTTGGAGACAAATAATTAAGAAAATAGTTGTTTTTTTTTTCGTTTTCTTGTTTTTGGTTTTATTTTGAAAAACGACTGAATGAATGACATACGGACTTAAAACTACACTTTCTTCAGATCATTCTCTGAGTTTTATGCTAAACTCTGGAATATTTTCTCTGTCTACACCAATTTTACGGCAAAAAAGTGACACAGTGAGGCTTTAACAAACCTCCTCCTCCTCGTCTTGCTCTTCTCTTCTTCCCTCCGGCTCCTCTGAATTTCTCTGGCGCCACCTCTGTCAAACACAAGTATTACAGAGACGTGTGTGTGTCAGATGCCCTCCCGGCCTCCTCTGTCCTCTTGTAGTGTGTGACTGTGACTACTGTAGTTCCAACAACTAAACTACTCTGAACTAAAGAGTCTGAGGGGGACTGAGGGTTTCTCTTGGGGAGAGTCTGGAGTGTGACACGAGACGCTGCAGGAGTCAGAGGGGAAATAAAACATCACAAGTTTCTATTTGGATTTCAGGGCTAAAAAAACAAACACAGTCTCTACAGGGTTTGGGGTGAAAGAGAATCTCAGAATCACAGAAATCTCACCTTAAATCCAAGAAGACTCAATCATTCTGTCAACAAATCCTCTTCATAATTATTCATGTTTAGAAAAGTAAGAAATACAGCCAATAAAGAAGTAAAAAGTAAAGGTGATATCAGTTATTTTAAGTGAGATGTGGATGTGAGTGTTAAAAGATGGTCTCAGAAATGTTGAAAAAAAAAAGAGCAGACAGAGAAATAATAATCTGTAGATCAATTAAAAGGTTTTTATTGTAAAACTCAAAGGCAAAAGTTTGAAAATGACAAAGATTTAAATGGAAAACAATAGAAAAACAAACAAAAACAAAACAGACAGACAGTAACATCAGAAAAGCAAACTGTGATGAATGAAGAAAGCTGAAATAGAAAGTGAATTTTTTGCATTTTTTGGGTAAATATTCTTCTCAACTTTTATCCAGGTTATAAAGATTAAAAACATGATTAAAGTTGTAAAGTTTTATTGACCTGGTTTAAGTTTTATATTTCTGTATTACCTGGGCCTGTCCACACGAAACTAAAACTGTCACAGAGCTCAGCGTCTTTTCTGTCAGGAGAAATAAACTAAAGTCAAATGATTTTTACACGATCGTTTCAGAAAGTGGAGCCGTTGTTTGAGTGTTTAAGATGTAAGATAAATATGACGAGCTGATCCCAAACGAACAGCGAGAAGGAGAAACATTTGTGGATTAGAAGTTTGGAGATTTCTTTCAAAAACAGTGAATCTGACACCGAGTTCTAGAAGCCCTCGCTCTCTGAAATGAAATGAAGACGTCTCATCTTTGAATCTAGCAGCTAATGTTCGCAGCCTGATTTAAACTGCTTCACTTTGAGCTTTTCTGAATCCTTCTTTAACTTTAGGTACATTTCAGGTTTGGTTTATTTCTGATCATTTATGTTTTCAGGTTCTTTTCTCAGACCAAGAGTTTGTTTTCGTCCTGACAGTTTGTTCTGTTCCTGTTCTCTTCCTCAGAGTCTCGTGACGTTTCTGTGTCGTGTCGCTCAGTTGATTTAAACAGGTTTTGTCTCCGTTTTCCTCACGGTGTATAAGCCCCGCTCCCTCTGTCCCAGCTCCAGACAGACTAGTGGTCGCTCCAGGTTCTGCAGCTCTGGGAGTTTTGCCCAGAAAGAATTCTCCCGTAGAAGCACAATGGATTTTTGTGGAATTCAAACTGCCCATGTTCTGACAGAGCATCAGCAACTTTCACAAAGGTCGGATTTTGTAGGGATTATTTTACATTTTCACTACATAAACTTGAATGTTGAATGAGAACTTTGCACATCGATTACTTGAGCTTGTGCATTGAAGGAGAAGGAGCAGCCCAAGAACACAGAGAAAAATCCCGCACACCATCTTACTTGCAAATAGTGAGATTTATTAGGACAAACCAACAAATAATCCTAATAAATCTTCCTATTTGCAAGTAAGAAGGTCTGCGGGATTTTTCTCTACAACATAAAGTTTTAAAAATGTTTGAATCCTCAAAGCGCCTAAAAGTTACTTGGTAAGATTTAGGTCCAAACGCTCCAGGTCGTGCACATTACAGACGTCACACAAGTGGGAGGATTAACCTGGATTGAGGAAGTAAATGTGGAAGTGAAAATTATTTTTGGGCCCATGAGCCGATGAACACAGACCCCTGAAAACAACACGACACAACTTGGAGTCATTTCTAGATTTTATTATATTTCTATGGTCTCAGTCCAGAATGTGCTTCTCTCTTTTACAGCGTCACAAACAGACTACTTGAGTTGTTCTTATTCTGTTTGGTGTTTTGTCGCCGGTGTTTTGCCTTCGCTGTTTCCTTCTCACATTCTGTCCTATGTTCCTTTTGTCGTGAACCTCCTCCCTGTTTTCCCGATGTGTGTTTTATTGCAGAACATGCAGGTGTTTCATAAAAGACGTTACGTTTATGAGTTTTCTGTCTGGTTTCACTGCTGTGTTCATATTGTGGGGCTTTTTCACTCTCACACACCTGAGATTGTGTCCTGAGGAAGTTGCCTGCAGGTGGCGCTGTCGTCCTGCCTCCACCGAGAGGAAAATAGCTCCAAAACCTGTTTAAATCATCTGAGCGACTCGTCTGAAAACAAACACACGGTCTGAGAAAAGAACCTAAAAACACACTCCGGGTTTATCTGAGCGTGAGATACTGCGGCAGCACGTCGTCCCAGAACTCCTCTGCCTCATCTGCGCCCTGACCTCTGCGCCCTGACCTCCGCGACCTCTTCTTCCTCTGCTCCTCCTCTTCATCGCTCTCTTCCTCACTGCTCTCCTCTTCCTCCTCACTCTCTTCTTCTTCTTCTTCCTCCTCTTCTTCCTCCTCTCCGCTCGCTGTCTCCTCCTCCTCTGAACTTTCCTCTTCGCTGCTCTCCTCCTCCTCCTCCTCACTCTCCTCCTCCTCCTCCTCTTCTTCCTCTTCACTGCTCTCCCCCTCTTCTTCTTCCTCCTCTTCCTCACTTCCTTCTTCCTCCTCCTCTTCCTCTTCCCCCTCTTCTACATCACTACTTCCACTTTTCTCTTCAGATTCACTTTCTTCTCCACTCTCCTCCTCTTCCTCGCTCTGTCCTTCTACACTTCTATCATTGGTGCTGTCGCTCCCTTCTTCCTCCTCTTCCTCTTCTTCCTCCTCCTCCTCCTCTTCCTCCTCACTTTTCCCCGCTGTGCTTTCGCTGACCTCTTCACTACTCTCCTCTTCCTCCTTTTCCTCATCTTCTGATTTCTTAACGCTGGACTCGCTCTCCTCTTCCTCGCTTTCCTCCTTCTTAACCGTACTTTCACTTCCCTCCTCTTCCTCCTCATCGCTTTCCTCTCCTTCGTCTGACTTCTTAACCGTAGATTCACTCTCTCCTTCCTCCTCCTCCTCTTCGTCGCTTTCATCATCTTCATCTGTTTTCTTAACCGTGGATTTACTCTCATCATCTTCGCTTTCTTTTTCTTTCTTAGTCGTACTTTCGCTCTCCTCTTCTTCCTCACTTTCCTCTCCTTCGTCTGATTTCTTAACTGCTGATACACTCCCCTCTTTCTCTTCCTCCTCCTCCTCTTCCTCCTCTACTTCGCTCACGTCCGCGCTCGTCCTCTGCTCGTCCTCGTCTCCAGTTTGCGTTTTCCCTCGTTTCCGTTTCTCCGGGTCCGGACTCTCGGGGATGACGTTGATGCTCACCGTGGACTTGGGCTCTCCGTCCGACCGTGAACTCGCCGCGGCGCGTTCGGGGACCTCGGACGGCGTCGGCGAGTCGCTCCTCGACGTGATCTCGTGCACCAGAGTGGCCCCTGCTGCGAGCGCGACGGCGGCGGCGGCTCCGGCTCCAGCCATCGCACCCAAACCGCCGCCGCTGCTGCTTGGCTCCGATTGGCTCGTCTGCGCTTCGTTCAAATCGTTTTTCTCACTTTTGGATTTTTTTACCTTTTTGCCAACGTTTTTATCTCGTTTTTTGGAGACTTTTGTAGGAGTTACTGACGTGTCTTTAGACTGAGTTTCTGTCCTCGTGCTGTCGTCTTCAGAATGCACTTTTCTCACTTTAGTTTTCATTTTTTCACGATCTAAATTTGCAGAATCTGTGACGCTACTTTCCGAACTTAACCGCTGTTTTACCCTCACAGGCTCTAGATCTTTTTTCGACTCTGAACGCACATTTAAAACTCGACTTCTGCTCTCCTGCTTTTCATTTTCACATGTTTTCCCCGAGCGTGGCCTATTCTTTTTCTCCTCTTTCTCTTGTTTTTGACTGTCTGCTTTTGGCCCAGGTGAGCTCTGCCCGGTGCGTTTACGTCTCGGGGATTTATCGGTCTTGGTGGACGTGGTGGACGTGGAGTTTTTCTCGTTTCGAAGTCGGTCTTTCTGCAGTTTTGCGTTCTTACCGGGTTTAACTTTCCTCTGTCCGACAGCAGAGAGCAAGAATAGAAAGAGGCGCATGCGTTAGAGGAAAAGAAATGGGAAAAAATAACACAAACACAAAGGGAAGCAGAGATACAACACAGAACAACACAGAAAAACAAATGAATTCAAAATAAAATACTTGGGGACGTTTAAACAGGGTCGATTGAACTGAAGCTTCTATGAACTGGACAATGTTGCTTGTTACTTGTCATTTCTGATATCTTAAAAAAATAAACTGACAAAAAAATTACCATTTTCGTGCCCCATTGTAAAATAATTTAGCTTAGCAATATTATAAATTATTTAATTATTTTTTCAGGCCTTACTTTACTTTTTCAGCCTTACTTTTTCATCAATTAATTAATTAATTAATTTATTTATTTAGTATTTTATTTTATTACTTTTTCAGCCTTACTTTTTCATTTATTTATTTAGTATTTTATTTTATTACTTCTTCAGCCTTATTTTTTCAGGGTTCCCACTCTTTTTCACTGACAACATTTCAAAACTTTTCCATGACTTTTTCATGAGCTAAAGTGAATTTTCCAGGACTTTACGGCACTTGGAAGTGTAGAATTAATCATAGTTTTAGGTGTAAATCTGAAACGTTAACTCTTTCCACTCACTTAATGGTTTGGGATTATAGTTTTTGAACATTCTAAATCCTGTCAGTGCTTTTATTGTCGTCTCTTTTAAACAAAAGACTCAGACATTCACAAATAATCAGAACAGATATATAATAGATAACTCTTTGTCCTGTCAATAACCAGATCATTGTTGACCTGATCTCTTGTGTAAAGCTCTGATTTTTATATTTTTATTACATATCTTTCTATTTTAATATTTTATTCTGACTTGTACTTTCACATTTATATAATTATGTTTTATTTGACACGCGTCTCTTGCTCTTTTTTCCTACTTATTTAAAATTTATTATTAACATTTATATTTTTTTTAGGCTTTGTTTTTATATTTTATTGTGATGTGTGACTCCTGTGTCCACATAATTTCTCTTGTGGATCAATAAAGTTTGTCCAAGTTTAACAGCCTCATGAGAACTTGGATTTGTGTGAAAGAGGCACTAAAATCCCATGACTTTTCCACAACTTTTATTGAATTTACAAAATCCCATGACTAGAAAACGCCATTTTTAATTTCCAGCAGGACTTTTCTAGGATTTCCATGACCGTGGGAACCCTGTGTATAACATAAGCAGCTTTTGGGGTAAGTCGGCAATTTACTGTCTGCATCTCATTATTTATAAAGAGTGTTAGTGTCCGAGAAATAGTTAAGTGCACATTGACGTGATAAAAAAAAACTCTGCCCTGGTTTCTGAAAGTGAACTACTTCTGTGTAACATTTTGAAATAGAGTTTGTATTTGTTCTGGATTATAAAGATGAGAAATGTGAAATAACAAACTCTGTGTTACCTTCTGCACTGGAGACAGAGTGAGAGTTTTATCACCAGGGTCCATCTCCATCACGTGAGTCTGAAAAGAAACAGAAACAAAAAAATACATTAAGTTTTCTCAGCACAGAAGGATTAGATTCTGGTTACATGATTGTCGATGTGTCTCAGGTTAAAGGTGCACTGTGTAACTTTTCTGGATTTCCTCACCATGTTGAGGAAATCTGTGGTGTCTCCCAAACCGGCCAGGCTCTCGGTGTCCGTCGCGCTCTCGGCGATACTGGCTGCGTCCTCTGAAACAAAACATTTAGTCCTGGTTTAGTCCCGATAACGTACTTTTATTTATTTATTTATTTATTGGATCATTTTTCAGCACTACAAAACAAAAACAAAACATGACAGAAAGGCTCCAAGCTGAAGGAAAAGCAAAACAGAATTCCAAGAATGAAACAATTTTGCATTTACAACTTCACAAATGACTCACTGTGCATTTAAGAGACAAAATATCAATTAAGAAAAACAAAATTTAATGTGTAATTCATTCATTCCAGAGCTCTATATCTTTCAAAACATAAAGCTTTATACTCTACTATACTTTTTTTTTTTAAGGGCTAATACAGTTTTGGACTTTTTTAAAAATCATCACCTCTCAAATAGAAACACAATCAGTTTTTTTCTTATTAACTTTTTTCTTAGTTCTTTTCTTCATTTTTTTAAAGATGCCAGTTTTTTCTCATTTATCCTCGTACAACCTAATAATAATAATAATAATAATAATAATAATAATGAAGGCACAAAAGTTTATCGTTTATAAATGTACAAAATAAACCACAATGAGAATGAAAGACTAAGGATTTTTTTGTTTTCATTTATGGTCGTACAAACTAATAATAATGTTAACGAAGGCACAAAAGTTTATCATTTAAGATCATACAAAATAACAACTAGAAAAGCAGTCAGAGAGCGCAGACCTCCGCCAAGGACTACCCCCATTTTTTATATAAATTGCAATAAAATCAGACTTCTGGATCAGATCTGGATCAGCCTTTGGAATATGAAAGAGGATCCCATTGTCCATCCCTGAGTCAAATTTCATGGGGTTTGGTCAATAATTAACCGAGATATTGAGAAACAAAATTTTTGGTCCCATTTACCACAATGTTAACTAAAATTTCAAAGTGATCCAGAATCCAGGATTTCTTCCGGATCAAACCCAAAATGAAATCAGTTCTTCCTTTTCACATTTCCAACAAATCCTGAAATCGGTCCATAACTTTTTGAGTTATGTTGCTAACAGACAAACAAACAAACAAACAGACAAACAAACAAACAGACAAACGCCGGCAAAAACATAACTTCCTTGGCGGAGGTAATAACAATCTGCGATGTACTTTTTTTTTTCAGATAAAGTACATTTTACTGTTGACACGAATAAAGGAAGTTTGGACATTTCTTTCAAAAACTGAGAATTCCCCAGTTACACAAGACCCACCATAAATCTGAAACTATAACAGATTCTAAAACATGACTTTACTGGTCAATCCATTAATGCCTTACAAAATAATTTAAATGTATAATATAATTGAGTTAGAGTCCTACTGTGAACCAGTGTGTGTGTATCTGAGTCCAATTTTACTTCAGCTTCAGACTGAGCTCAGAAATAACTCGAGGTCATGTATTTTCTTGCATTCTGGGCTTTACGTTTATTATTTTGAGTGATATTTTTGTGGCGTGTGGTGAAGTTTGTACCCTGCTGCCGTGTGCCGCTCTGCACCTTTCTCTTTTCCTCTGCGGGCGGTCGGTGCTTCTGATTGGCTGTCGGAGGCTGGAGAAGCGTCTGATTGGTGGAAAGGGGAGGCAGGAACCCGGTCGTGGTCACGGACATGGGAAGACTTCGGAAAATAGATCCAAACTGTTCTGGAGATCTCTCCTGAAATGAAAAAAAAAAAAACACAAAACAAAAACAAAAAACATAGATGAAGTCTTTCTGGTTTTGTCTTTCTGGTCTAGTCCCTGGCTTAGTCCCTGGCTTAGTCCCTGGCTTAGTCCCTGGCCTAGTCCCTGGCCTAGTCCCTGGCCTAGTTTTTCTGGTCTTATGCCCCTGGTGTTGTCACAGAATCAAAGTCAAATCCAAATTAACCCAGGACTAACTCTAATCAAGACTAAGTAAATGCCCAGGGACTAAACCAGGGACTAAACCAGGAACTAAACTAAGGACTAAACTAAGGATTAAACCAGGGACCAAACCAGGCCTGTACCAGGATTAAACCAGGGACAAAACTGGGGAAACATCACAACTTAAACAAGACCAAACAGGCACCAAACTAGGACTAAACTAGGTCGGGACTAAACCGAGGAGTAGTCCGGGTCCCGGTGGTCCGGGTCCCGGTGGTCCGGGTCCCGGTGGTCCGGGTCCCGGTGGTCCGGGTCCCGGTGGTCCGGGTCCCGGTGGTTCGGGTCGGAGCAGAGGATCGTCCAGAGCAGACCCACCCTCTCGCGGCGCCGCACCCGAGCAGAGAGGCTCCTGCTCAGGCACGAGGAGTCCGTGGTGTGGCCCAACAGCTCCACGTAGGGCCTCTCCAGGAAGTCCTCCGTGCTGTCGTCCTCCTCCAGACTCAGCTCCAGCTCCGAGTCCTGCCGGGGCCGCGCCAGAACCACCATGTGACACCCTCCGCACGACACCTGCCGCAGAAAAACACGTGCAAACAACAGGATATTTGGACTTTTTAGGTTATCGGCTTTCGGCCTTAAACCTCCAGCTCAGGCCAGTATTTTGTTTCTGTCAGTCTGCTGCCTAAAAATACACACAAAGCTTTAAAAAAAAAAAAAAAAAAAAAGAAGAGAAAACTGCACTAAATATAAGTCCCCTTTGTTACATAATTTGAGGAAAATAATCTAAATCATATCGGCTCAAAAATATCTGCAGTTCTTTTCGGTTATCGGCTCCTCTGTATTATAAACAATCAGCATCGGCTGTGGTTGTTTTCACATTTGCATCATCCAGTCTTATATTTTTAAATGGTTTGCTGTGAGGCTCTTTGATTGAGAAGGAAAATGTTTAAATTCAACTTGTTTCATTGGGAGTTTGAACCTTGTCCTCACTTGTTCCATTTAAATGTATTAGATTTATTTAACTAACGACTTACTTAATAAACTCATCACTCCACATTCGACCAGTAAAACCCAAAAGACCACTGATAAAACCTCGTTGGAACTCACGGCTCGAACGATGAACTTGAGGAAGCGCGGACACAGCGTGGGCTTAAACTGGTTGGTGAAGTTCTCCTCTCCCAGAGCGAGCTTCCCGTGTCGGCCGTCTCCAAACGTGTACAGCAAACCACTGTCTGAAGAGAGACCAGGACGAGGATTAAAATCAGAGCTTCATCGTTCTGAACCGTTTGTGGTCCAAGCATTTAAATTAATTATTCAATGCGTAAAGTTTGTAACGGTGTTTCAAAACACAGAGGCCAGAGCGAAGTTATGACAATGCCGCTCCAACCACCATCAATCACCCTGGCTTGAAAGTCCCAGCTCGAACGTCCCATTTTCTCTGCCGCGTTACGCACTGTGATGCACTTAAGTTAGAAAATCAGCTTCTATATGATAATAAAATGAAATGTGAATGTACCAGACCAAATGTGGGGCCTTATTTATGTCGTTTTACCAATTTTCCTAAAGCGGCACACAATGTTTCAGTCTGTAATATCAATATAATCCTCATATGCTCGCAGAATTTTACAATGAAATCATATTTTAAATCATTTTTTCTTGTTCTCCATGTCCTGTAGCATGTGTAACTGCTGATTTGGGAAGAAATATGAATGATTTCCTCACCTGCCATGAACATAATTTTTAAGCAGCGCAACACAAGAAACTTAGAAAGCTTCAGAATTTGTTCAAAAATCATTCAGAATCAATTTTTGCATGTTTTTTTTTGTATGTATGAACAAATGACTTGCGTGTGTACAATATATATAATGACAAAAAATGTACATAGATTAACTAACTTGTTTTCATAAAGGTACAACTAAGCGGGACCTTCCAGCTGGTCCCCGTCACTTTCACACCACATTTGTACTAAAGACAAGGTGAGGTGGGTGAAGTGTATTGCCTAAGGACACAACAACTGGTAATCTCATGGTCTGATATCCAATTAAGACCAGAACCTTCAGATATCAGAGCAGATCAGACACGGACAAAGTGGCCTGGATACATAAAAAGTATACACACAGGGTCAGTACCTGTGATGACCGCCGTGTGGTTCTCTCCGCAGCTCACGTCGCAAACTCTGCCTTTTTTAAAATGCTCCACGTGGCGCGGAAGTCGAGACTCAAAAATGAATGTGCCGTGTCCCAGCTGCCCGTACTGACCCAGGCCGAAAGTGTACACGTCTTCATCTGAGAGAAAAAACACAACAACCAAGTGCAAAATGTTCATTTTTTCTTGTCGTCCCTCCTCTGTACCTGTGGTGAAGTCGTATTTACCTGTGAGGGCTACAGTATGGCCTCCTCCGCAGCAAACCTGTCTCACCGGGTCTGTGATGGCTTTGACTCTCTGGGGGAGTCTGTGTCCGGCCAGCTGGTCCGTGCTCAGGCCCAGTTTCCCACAGTCCCTCTCCCCAAACGTGTACAGGCCCCCGTCATCTGGACAAAAGACATGGACCCCAAATGTTAATGACTCATACTTTTGTTTATGTATTCAGATTTTTGTCATTTTCAGTTTAAATTAGAGGTAGCTTGTCCTGTTTTGCCTTCACCATTTCAAAGCTGTAGTAGTTTAGACTTGAGATCCATGAGTTTTAAACAAAATAAAAGTATGATCACTGCCATAACATTAAACAATTCACAAACTTGTTGTTCAGTCTTTTGGAAGATCCTCAAAATGGCATCTTGAACAGGAAAAAGTCACATAATTGAAGCCAACAAAGAGAGAATGAGATCACACAACTAAACTCAATTATTTCAAGGAAATCCGACATGCTTCTTGTCAGCAGGCTCATGAATATCTTTCAACTGATGTCATCGGCTTTTCTTGGGTCTTGATTTTATTTTAGATTCATTGACATTAAAAATATAATCTAATCAAAATTGCAATTCAAGTTGGCACGATTATCAACTCACAAAGGCTGAAATTATTTAGGATATATATAATAAAATGTTATGCATAAAAACTAAATATCCTGTCTTGTATCTGTAATTTAGACCAGGTTCTGAAATGTGAAATGAGATTGTTGAATGCTCTTGTAGTTGTTTACAAAGTTCACACTGAACAGAATCCTCCTTTTATAAAAATCTGATCATAATACTTTCAGAAAAAAAATTTTGTTTTTTTTTTACAAAATGATGAGGGCAGTCTCACCTGTGATGAGGGCGGAGTGGTAGTATCCACAGGACACGGCGCTCACTGGTTTTCCCACAGACACTTCCTGGGGGGTGGAGGCGTGGCTCTGTTTGCCGAGTCCGATCTGACCCTCGGAGTTATCGCCCCACATGAAGAGCTTCCCACTTTCTGTCAATCACAGAACATGAAATTTAAATGATTAATACTAGATTATTCCTGAAGAAATACTTTAGTCCCAGTTTAAACCAGGTTTTGACTTTTTGAGCAAGTTTAAAGTCATAGGGATATAAATTAGAGCTTTCAAAAATAAATAAATGAAAGAAATCCAGATACTAATGCACAAAATTGTAAAGCAAAGATTAATACATTATTATTATAAATAGTAAAATAATAATAAATCATTGTATTTTCTAATAAGTGAAGTAGAACGAGGCGTGTACCTGTGAGTGCAGCGGACGTATTCGAGCCGGCAGCGAGCATTCTGATTGGTCCGTGAGAGGGGAAGTTGATTCTGTGGAACGTCGTGTGTTCGTCACAGTCTCCAACCCCGAGCTGCCCCTCACCGTTTCCACCGCTCGCAAAAAGTTTCCCGTCGACTACACGAAAATACACAACACTTACATCCAACACACATTATACTGTATAAAATATCACTGAATTAAATACAATGGTCCTGATATAACACCAGAAAATCTGCATAAGAAAACTAGTCTCCTCTCATTTCAATGAAACAATAGAAAGAATTTTTACAGTGGTTACTGAGAGGCCGCCTCCAAGCAGTTGTACATATGTAATAGATGTAAAAGTTGTGCATTCATCAAAGATTGTATTAAAAAAACAAAGCGGACAGACTGACCTGTGCATACAAGTGTGTGGTTCCTCCCACACGCCACTAGGTGAAGTCTTTCTGATTTCAGAGCTGGAAAAAAATAAATAAAATTAACAGTTTTACCAAGTTCATAGAAAAGTGTCTGATTGTTGCAACTTAATCTTATCTTAATCTTAAACCATGAAGTTATTCAATTTATATGATCTATTTAATTAATGAATTTCCTTTGGGATAGTAAAGTATGATCTATTTCTTCACAGTAGGTTTTAGAGGAATTAGGTCATGTCATGTGTAATGAACATCAGTAGCTCACATTTTAATGATTATTTCTTATTAAATCATGAAACTGAACAGAAAATGCATTCTGTCTTTATGGTTCAGGTTTCCTTTATTATCCTTGTGGTGAAATTTGTCCTCTTGTGGATGTTTTTAGTCAATGGGAGAAAACCACAGACACAAACACTGAGCCTTCTTGCTGTGAGGTGAGTCACTATGAGGATGGATTATGTGTTTGTAAAAGGTTTTTCTATCGGAGACTCTAAAATCAGCTGCTCATGACACCTCCTCGGGCTGTGAGCAGTCGAGGTGCAAATAAAAACAATAGAATGTCATTTAAAACTGACCTTTAACACACGTGGGTTTGTTCACGGTGGTTTTGGAGCCCAGACCGAGCTGGCCCCAGTTATTACTCCCGAAAATAAACAGCTTCCCGTTTTCTGCGGACAAAGAACATGTGTAAATACGTTTGATAAAATAAAATAACTCAATAAACTAGATTATGGCATTTTCTTGAGCGTGATAAACAAGTAATTAAAGATAAACATGTTTACCAGTGATGAAGGCGGTGTGTTCATCTCCACATGAGATTTTCTGCGGGACGTCGTTTTTTAACCAAAACTTACTCGGAACATTGTCCGAAAATTTGCTTTTCCCGAAAGTGAAAACTGCTCCAGACTCTGAATAAAACAGAAAATAATTTGTACCTAATGCAAAATGTTACTGAAGTATTACAAAAGTATAATGAAAGAAATAAAAACATCTTCGTCCAAACGTGTAACTCTGAAACGGACTGTTAGCTTTAGCACGCGGCTAAAGTTAAAGCTAAACAGTTTTTTTCCATCTACAAACGGCGTGGTTGAAAATGTGCTGTGGTAAAAGGTGTAAATGCTCATTAGATTTACCGGGAACGTCGTCTTCCACCTCCCCCGCCATCTCTCGCCTCTCACGGGGACTTTAATCCGCTTTTCCTCGGCTCGTGGGCGTGTTGTTGTCGCTGGATCCCAACCCGGAAGAATACACTCCGTCTCCTAGGATACGGCCGCGTCACGTGACGTTTGGAGGCACGTGGAGGGCACGTGGGGGTGTAATAAAATTGAGTGTATAAAATTATGTATTTTATTAATTACAAATGCATGTATTTAATAAGAAATATGTAAGATGTTTATGTTTTGAAACAATAGCTCCATTTGCCATTTTGCAACAGCTAAAGGGAAATACTTTAGTTAGCTACATTTTGCATAAAGTCAAATTTCATTGTGTGTTGATGTGAAATACAATCATAAGCACAGAGACATGACATTCGTTTGAACTTGTTTAATCAGTTTGGTAAAAAAAAACTGGACACTGCTTAGGAACATGCTCATTAAAACGAACAGTTGAGCTTTATTTGCAGACAAACGTGTTTCAATATTCTTCTCCCTCTTCTTCAGTTTGGTAAAAAAACTGGACACTGCTTAGGAACATGCTCATTAAAACGAACAGTTGAGCTTTATTTGCAGACAAACATGTTTTAATATTCTTCACCCTCCTCCTCTCCATCGACGCTATCCAAACCCACCTCTTCATAATCCTTCTCCAGAGCAGCCATGTCCTCTCTGGCCTCGGAGAACTCTCCCTCCTCCATGCCCTCACCCACGTACCAGTGCACGAAGGCCCTCTTGGCGTACATCAGGTCAAACTTGTGGTCCAGTCGAGCCCAGGCCTCAGCGATGGCTGTGGTGTTGCTCAACATGCAGACCGCACGCTGCACTTTGGCCAGGTCTCCTCCTGGCACCACTGTGGGCGGCTGGTAGTTGATGCCAACCTTGAAGCCTGTGGGGCACCAGTCCACGAACTGGATGGAGCGTTTGGTTTTGATGGTGGCAATGGCAGAGTTGACATCTTTGGGAACAACATCTCCACGATACAAAAGACAGCAGGCCATATATTTACCATGACGGGGATCACACTTGACCATCTGATTGGCTGGTTCAAAGCATGCGTTTGTGATGTCAGCGACAGTCAGCTGCTCGTGGTAGGCCTTCTCTGCAGAGATGACTGGAGCGTAGGTGGCTAGAGGGAAGTGGATGCGAGGGTAGGGCACCAAGTTGGTCTGAAACTCTGTCAGATCGACGTTCAGAGCTCCATCGAAGCGCAGAGAGGCAGTGATGGAGGACACGATCTGCCCGATCAACCTGTTGAGGTTGGTGTAAGTGGGACGCTCGATGTCCAGGTTTCTGCGGCAGATGTCGTAGATGGCCTCGTTGTCCACCATGAAGGCGCAGTCGGAGTGCTCCAGAGTGGTGTGGGTGGTCAGGATGGAGTTGTAGGGCTCCACCACAGCAGTGGACACCTGGCAGAACAATGGATTGGTTAGGAAGAACTGACATCAGAAGTATCTAGTTATGCATTTTCTTCAGATCAAATTTGGTCCTACAACTTTAAAATTAAGATTTTCCTTCAAGGCTTCTCACCTGTGGAGCTGGATAAACCGCAAACTCCAGTTTGGACTTTTTGCCGTAGTCGACTGAGAGACGCTCCATCAGCAGAGACGTGAAGCCAGAACCGGTGCCTCCTCCAAATGAGTGGAAGATCAGGAAGCCCTGCAGCCCTGTGCACTGGTCAGCCTGCGGAAAGAGGAAGTTCAAGTTAATGAAAGCACTTAAATGTTTTAATACAGAAGGTTTGACTCATACTCACGAGTTTGCGAGTTCTGTCAAGAACGACATCAATAATCTCTTTGCCGACTGTGTAGTGCCCGCGGGCGTAGTTATTGGCAGCGTCCTCTTTCCCAGAGATCAGCTGTTCAGGGTGGAATAGCTGTCGGTACGTCCCACTGCGCACCTCATCTGAGAGCAAACATTAAATCAATCATTAAATTACCAGTTCATATATATTTATCTTTGCGTACATGTTAGTTGTGTAATTTACCTATGACGGTTGGCTCCAGGTCGACAAACACGGCTCTGGGCACATGTTTCCCGGCTCCTGTCTCACTGAAAAATGTGTTGAAAGAATCGTCTCCTCCTCCAAGCGTTTTGCCACTGGGCATCTGACCGTCAGGCTGGATCCCGTGCTCCAGGCAATACAATTCCCAGCATGCATTGCCCATCTGGACTCCGGCCTGGCCGACATGCATTGAAATACACTCACGCTGTAAAAGAAAGGGGCAAAGGTTAAAGTCTCATTCAAAACATTTTATTGCATCTGAAAAGTGAAAGCACCACTGGGCATGAATAACCTGTATATGCTCTTAAGGTGTTGTGAATAGGGATGGGCATTTGATGAAATTTTCTTAATCGATCGCCGGAAGAATTAATGATCGATTATCGATTAATCATTAGCGTTTTTATATTAAAATGATCATCATTATTATTACTATCTGCATAAATAAATTCAACTTTACGACATATAAACCGTAACGACTCAAGAGCCACATCAGCCCGTTTTAGATTATAATGTGTTTAATTCACTTTTGCGCAACTCTCACAGAAACGAAACTTAACCGCATCGCTAATTTGCATAAACTAAGCGAAGATAAAACTACAGCTCTTGTGTCGCTGATGCGGTCAATTTCTGTTGGACTAAAAGACATGACTCAGGTGAATACAGGTTAGTGTGACCAGATTTGTGTTTGTCAAAACCAGGACACCGTACGAGGGGAGGGGACTCGTCATCGACATTGAGCGACTCTCACCTGGAAAAACTTTCCCACTGGACACCGTAACATATGTGCCGCTTTGTACACTGTGCACAAGGCCTCACACTTGTCCCGAACGCAACGGAAAGCGTGGAATTTCTTCTACAAATCATCGTTAAATACGCATTTGTGCTTCGATACGTTGCTGACTGTGTGTCTGCTCGCGCTTTCTGAGTGCAGAGAGACACATGTATGGACCTGTTTGGTCACACTACGCACAGCAACCTACATTCGGTTTGTCGATTAAAATGAACGTAATCGATGAAATTCTTAATGATCAATTATCGATTAATCGACTAACCACGCCCATCCCTAGTTGTGAATAAAGTTAAATAATTGGTTGTGTGTAATGGAAGGTTTTTGATAATCCACCAAAATATGGCAAATTTGGCGGCAAATTTGGCGGGAAATGTGTGTGTGTTCTGTGTAGTAAAGTCTGTCTGCGCCATTACGCGTCACGTTAGGTTCAGCAGACCGGTTTGAGCCTGTAGCTCTCCTCTCCCCTCCCCAAACAGAGGCACAGCAAATCCGTATCACACCACCAGGGAGGGGAGAAGGAGCCCACACAGGCCGGAAAAAGGTGCCTCCCTCCCCCATAGCGGCAAACGGCACGGCCTCTATCTGATGGCGCCTCTGGTTTAGGCTTAAAACTTTGAGCCCAAATACTCCAGGGGATTTTAGGCCTTGCGGGATTGACGCAGTGAACGTGGCCAGTTTAACGCACGAGACTCGGGGTCAACAACCAACGACATTTTTACAAACTAGTTTTAACAATGCCTGACATGTGCAGGGGCAACCTTGAGCCCCTGACACAATCTTTTAGCAAGTTGTATAATATTTTTTCTTGGCTGAATAACAAGGTAACATATTTGGACATATGAAACTAGACATTGTAGAAAAGAAGGCGGACAGTTAACAGTAATTCACGGATTATCGCGGGCTTCCTGAACTGCGTCAGCTCCAATTTGCGCAACAACGTTCAGGCTAAACACGTAGGTTAAATAAGTTATTTGATCGCTCTGCGGGTATTTAAGAGACGAGAAACGCACCATGTTCACATTTGTTTTGTAAATACGTCATCGGTACTCACCATTTTGATAACTGTTCTCCTCTACACCGACGGTTAAGAGTCTCTGGTAAAGGCAGCTCTCTGTGGCGGACTTGGGCGGTGCCTTTTATTTATACATTTTGAGCAGTGGGCGGGGCCAGTGCGTCACGCTCTACGCGCCTAGGCGGGAGCAAACGTGACGATGTCATCTTCACGTCGTGGATCATGGCGTAAAAAATAAAAAATAAAACACTTTATTTTGCATTGGAATAATGTATTATTTGGCTTTGATTCTCATTTACAAAAAAGTTCGATCTACCTAATTAATCTCTTATTATTAATGTCAAAGTATCATATCCTCTCGTGTAAATTTTCTGGTTAAAGGCCAACCTTTGTTGCTTTCAATAATAGTTTCAGACAATACATTCTTTCAATAAAATTTTTTGAGAAATAGAAGGCAGTCGATACTGTAGAAATCTGTACAGCTTTGAATGTTTTCACTTGAACTCTGACCCCCGTGTGAAAGTAGAGCGTTTCCCCCTTTCCTGTCCTCTTTTATTTCCCCCTCCTTTCTTTTTTATTGCTTTACTTATTATTTATATTATTTGTAAATTTTATACGATACAGTTCTTGAATGTAAAACACAGCTCTTTGTACACTGCATTATGTATACACTGCTTTATTTTTCATAAAAAAAAAAAAAAGTAAAAATATGAAATCGAATAGAAAGCTTGATACAAACCTACAATTTTATTGCAGGTTTAAACTGCAGGTTTAGTGTGTATCACAGGAAAAGACATAGTCAGAGACAAGATTTATTAATATTAATATCATTTGGTGTTGTAAATTCAAATCTGTGTGACAGCAACATGATACAGAGAACAAACTCCAGAGATGCTCTAGTACTCCTCTCCCTCCTCCTCCCCTTCTCCCTCGATACTGTCCATGCCCACCTCTTCATAATCCTTCTCCAGAGCAGCCATGTCCTCTCTGGCCTCGGAGAACTCTCCCTCCTCCATGCCCTCACCCACGTACCAGTGCACGAAGGCCCTCTTGGCGTACATCAGGTCAAACTTGTGGTCCAGTCGAGCCCAGGCCTCAGCGATGGCTGTGGTGTTGCTCAACATGCAGACCGCACGCTGCACTTTGGCCAGGTCTCCTCCTGGCACCACTGTGGGCGGCTGGTAGTTGATGCCAACCTTGAAGCCTGTGGGGCACCAGTCCACGAACTGGATGGTGCGTTTGGTTTTGATGGTGGCAATGGCAGAGTTGACATCTTTGGGAACAACATCTCCACGAAATAACAAACAGCAGGCCATGTATTTACCGTGACGGGGATCACACTTGACCATCTGATTGGCTGGTTCAAAGCAGGCGTTGGTTATCTCAGCCACAGACAACTGCTCGTGGTAGGCCTTCTCTGCAGAGATGACTGGAGCGTAGGTGGCTAGAGGGAAGTGGATGCGAGGGTAGGGCACCAAGTTGGTCTGAAACTCTGTCAGATCGACGTTCAGAGCTCCATCGAAGCGCAGAGAGGCAGTGATGGAGGACACGATCTGCCCGATCAACCTGTTGAGGTTGGTGTAAGTGGGACGCTCGATGTCCAGGTTTCTGCGGCAGATGTCGTAGATGGCCTCGTTGTCCACCATGAAGGCGCAGTCGGAGTGCTCCAGAGTGGTGTGGGTGGTCAGGATGGAGTTGTAGGGCTCCACCACAGCAGTGGACACCTGGGAGAGGGAAGCATCGTTACTAAAACGAGACTGCTCCTGTGGTCACAGCATTAACCTGTTTTTGTATTATCTGTTGTACCTGTGGAGCTGGGTAAATCGCAAACTCCAGTTTGGATTTTTTGCCGTAGTCGACTGAGAGACGCTCCATCAGCAGAGACGTGAAGCCAGAACCGGTGCCTCCTCCAAACGAGTGGAAGATCAGGAAGCCCTGCAGCCCTGTGCACTGGTCAGCCTGCGGACAAGAATAAAACTATTAGACAGACAGACATGACCCACATGAACGGTTCCTGTTTTAGTGATGATGATGGCACATAAACTTTAGAATAAAATGTAAACAGTTATTTTGAGAGGATTTTTGTAGAGCAAACACTGATGGTTTGGCTGGAGATTCATAAAAACTTAAGAATAAGACATTTGTTAAAAACAGCTAATTGGGCTCAATGGTTACAGAAAGATACTGGAAGGACTGATGATTTATTTCAAAGAAGGAAACTACAATCGTGTGTTCACTATTAGACGAATCTTCAGAGATGAGTCTTTGAAGATGAATTGAACCACACTGGTGTCTCACACTGGTGAGAGCGACTGACCAGTTTGCGGATGCGGTCCAGCACGATGTCGATGATCTCTTTGCCGATGGTGTAGTGTCCGCGGGCGTAGTTATTGGCCGCATCCTCCTTCCCCGTGATGAGCTGCTCGGGGTGGAAGAGCTGCCGGTACGTCCCAGTGCGCACCTCATCTGTCGGGGAAGATGAAACACATGAACAACAGTTTCAAATGACTGAAAAAAGGAGAGCCAAGTTTTGCAGATGATGTTGACGAGTCTCTGACGCTGCTACAACTGCGGGTTAAAAAAAAAAAAAAAACTGTGGACAGGCTTTTAGAGAAGCAGCAGTTTATAGCAAGAGGAAGTTGATGAAGCTGGTTCTAACAACTTTCAGTCTGTGTGGAAACCAAGCATTACAAAATGTCCGAACCGACCTGGAGAGGATTCTCATTGGAAACTTTGGTTCTTAGGTAACGTTATATCTTTTGTTTATGATTATATTTCCTTAACTCTCTTCTACCAGTGTATTCTCACGAGAGACCTGCGGGGGGAGCTATATCACTGATGTTATTTAGTTCTGCTTTAAACTTTCCATCTGTAAGTTTTTTTGTTTTTTTTTACCAGTAGATTTCAGATGTGAAACTTGCTCTCCTTCCCTTCACAACAGGGCTAATTAAATGGAAACTTTAAATGTCAGAAATATTAGATAATCCAATTGTGTGTAGAATCCCTCAGTCAGGCACCAGCCAATGAGTGAAGAGACAGACATTCTGTGTTGGCAACGATTCCTGAGATTGAGGATTTAAAGCCGGAACAAAGAGAATGTTTGGTGAATTTTATCTCAGGGAAAGACGTTATTGTTCTTCTTCCTACAGGATTTGGCACATTACATACATCACGACCAAACAGCAGCGATTGGTTAAATAAAAAAAGTACCTGCCTACTGTTGAGTGAAAAAACCCTAATGTTGCGAGGTCACACGGTTTCTACGAGGTGAAACCAGCTCATGAATTAGGGTAAAGATCTGGGCCTATTACACGAGAATACTTGCAGGTAAAAACTACAAAATATTTTATGGGAAGTGCCTTTTGTTTAGACGGTGACGGCGTTTTTTTGGGGCTTAAAAACGCAAAAATCTGAAACCACCTCCAGAGTGGAAAAGTTAAATCCGCTCCACCATAGTGTTTCCATCTACACTGCCCAAGACGCAAAACTCTGGTCAGATGTGCTCAGGTCGTGTACGTGTTTACATGCAGTGTTGGGAAGTTTACTTTTAAAATGTATTCCCCTACAGATTACAGATTACATACTCCAAAATGTAGTCTGTAACGGAATCCATTAAATTACTTAAAGTGAGTAATGTAATCTGAATACTTTGGATTACTTGATTTGCTGTAGAGAAGCAAAGACGAGGAAATCTTCACATAAGAAGTTTTGTCTGATAAAAGAAAATGAAAAGCCCAGACTTTACTGAACCAAATTAAAACTATTGATAGAAGACGAGACATGTCCACACAGCAGGATTTAGTCCTATTAAATCCTGTTTTAGTCCTGTTTTAGACCTGGTTTTAGTCCTGGTTTAGTCCTGGTTTAGTCCTGGTTTAGTCCTGGTTTAGTCCTGGTTTAGTCCTGGTCTAGACCTGGTTTTAGACCTGTTTTAGACCTGTTTTAGACCTGGTTTAGTCCTGGTTTTAGACCTTGTTTAGACCTGGTTTTAGTCCTGGTTTAGATCTAGTTTAGACCTGGTTTTAGTCCTGGTTTAGATCTAGTTTAGACCTGATTTTAGTCCTGGTTTAGATCTAGTTTAGACCTGGTTTTAGTCCTGGTTTAGTCCTGTTTAGTCCTGTCTTAGACCTGGTTTTAGACCTGGTTCAGACCTGGTTTAGATCTAGTTTAGATCTAGTTTAGACCTGGTTTTAGTTGTGGTTTAGTCCTGGTTTAATCCTGGTTTAGTTTCAGCAATGAGTGGAATTACAGGGGAAAAAAAAGAAAGAAAAAAAGGGGGATATAGCTCAAAATGTGAAAACAGGAAAATACCGCCGTGTAATCCATTTATTTCAACAAAGTAACTGTAATCTAATTACCACTCACTGAAACAGTAACTGTAACCGAATACAGTTACTCATAATTTGTACTCTGATTACGTAACTCCGGTACATGTAATCTGTTACTCCCAACACTGTTTACATCACATACATACAGAACACAGAAACCTGACATGCGCACACAATTGAATTCCACACACTTTTGCGTGACTGTATGCACACAGATTTCCTCCTGAAAACGCTCGTCTAAACGCAGCACCACTTTTGTGTCTTGTGTTCAAACCCTCATCATATAAATCTAGTCTTAGTCTAATCCAGTCTATCAAATATTACACTTTTTTCCTTCAGCGTTGGTCCTTTGTTTACATTCAGAGGTTAGTGTTTGTGTTCTCTCTCTAAAACCTTCAAATCAGGCAAGAAATCTCGGGGTAATAATGGAATCAGACTTGAACTTTAACAGCCACATCAAATCAATAACATCTGCAGCCTTTTACCATCTAAAAAATAGAGCAAAAATCAAAGGTTTACTGTCTAAATCAGACTTGGAGAAACTTATCCATGCGTTTGTCTCCAGTAGGTTAGATACTGTAATGTTCTGCTCACTGGTCTCTCCAAACGACCTGTGAGACGCTGCAGAACATCCAGAACATCCAGAACATCCAGAACATCCACAACATCCAGAACATCCACAACATCCACAACATCCACAACATCCACAACATCCACAACATCCAGAACATCCAGAACATCCAGAACACTGCAGCTTGGATCCTGACTCGAACTAGGAAGTACGAGCACATAAGTCC